AACTCCGCCCTTCCTTTCTCTTAACCATATAGTAACATTCACAGTGTAGGCGAAACAAGAATGAGCCTTCATGAAGTATTTCAGTGTACAAGGTTTAACCAGTCCATATGGAAACGTAGAAGGGACATTGATTGTCGCGTTGCCGCCTTCACAAAAACAAGCAAAAAGTGGCAAAAGCGCAACAATGCGACAACCTTTTGCTTTTATGAGAGCGAAAACCCGACAATGTCCCTTCTAGTATTCCATAAGTCAGCTGGTCAGCCCACCGAGTGTCGTACAAAAACTACCGCAAAAATCCTGTATATATATATACTATTCATACTAGGTTAATATGCTTGTGTGAATCCGTGTGTGCATTCACGTTGCATTGCTCATGGATATGGGCATTTATTAAGCAAGACCTGCATCAAAGATAGAAAAAGGTTGAAACACGTCCAGATTCGGTGTAAAAATGGCATCGATTGGTTACTGACCTCTCTTTCTCTTGAAAATCCACCCATCCGCGAGGATGCAGAAAAAATGATGATAATTCAGTTCAGGTGGACTATTTTACTTGACCACAAGTGACCACCCAGGTATTTTAATCTTCAAACGGCAATCAACACTCGAAGACACCATATAAAGCTGCGGCCACATCTTACGGACACGCACGTATTTGACCATAGAGAGGGTTGAACGTAGTAGACCGTAGTGGACCGTATTTGACCCAAGTTAAACGTAGTTAGACGTATGTAAGCGTAGTTAAAATGTAGATCACCGTAGTTATGACCGTACTTTGAACTTCAGCAAATCCTTGATTTGGCCGTGGTTAGACCAAACAAAATTCAACATGTCTAAAATATCTCTGAAGTTAACTTGAATGGCAAGACCATACTGTTAACGTAGTTGACCCTAGTAGACCGTAATTGACTGCACCATTGTGTTGACCTTAGTACTCCGTGGTAACATGACACCACGATCAAACATATAACATATATGTTCATCGCCAACAAATTTTGGTAAGGTCAAAGGTCAATATTAATAGAAAGGACATTTGATGAGAAAACATGAGTTGAACTTTACAAATTAAAGGTAATTTTTCCAAAATTGTGTTTTTCTGATTCAGCTATGTCATTTGAAGATCATACATACCATTTGTTGGCACTGTATTCATGAAAAAACATTACAAGGAAACGGTAAATATGATCTTCCAAAACTACTATTTTGACGAAAATCGGTCAATCCAAACCAGAGATATTAAATTAAACCATCCAGTTATCGGTTAGAATATTGCCATAACTGACATGACATGCTGCACCTTGAAAGGGCCCCTGTACGGTAGTCACGCACGGTAAATCATTTTGGGGCTCTTGAATCTAGACCATACGGTTTACTACGTTATTTACTACGGTCCAGAAAAACAACATTCATGACCGCAAGATGTGACCGCGCCTTAAAGAAAGACTGTCTGTCTAACAATATACATCTTATCGAAAAAGAACCTCATATATTATTCATCTATGATTTTCATAGCCATTTTCGAGAACCACAACCAGGTTAATACATTACTTCTACTTGTCAGCTATTAAATTTCCCCTGCTAATATGGCATCATGCACAACACTGATGTTGTTCTCTTAGCACCCAATGCGAAATCTAATTTAAACTATACATGCTTTATATTTTCATGTTTGAAAGTTTTGGATTATAATTCTGTAAAACAATTTCTTTATTGATTGATGCTTGTCGTAAATGACGGGATAGGGTGGTCAGGATCGTTAACTTGGTTGACACATGACATCGTATCCCAATTGTGTAGATCGATGCTCATGTTGTTGATCACTGGATTGTCTGGTCCAGACTCTATCATTTACAGACCGCCGCAATATAGCTGGGATATTTCCGAGTGCGGCGGTAAACAACAAACCAACCAACCATATGTCTTCCTGCTGTATATATGTATTTCGGGCTAGTGGCTGTTGACTGAATAAATCGCCCGTCTGTCTGTGAAATATAAATAAGATGACATTGCAGGTAGATATGGCAACACAAAAGTAGAACTGCAGTTGAATACGAAAGTAGTGGGGCGTAAGTCTTTCCAAATGATTGGCAACGGGTCCACATACAAATTATCGATGTTTCGAGGAAATCATTAAAATTGAATAAACTACTGAATAAAATCAAGAACAGTATTCATAACAGTTGTGAAACGTACATCTACGTTACTATTTCCATCTTTTGGACGATCAGGTTATGTAAGTCAATTGACATCTCGGCTTTCGTGGCCTCCATCTTCATGCTCGGGCACAATGTTTAATGCGAAAATATATGCTTAAAGCATTTTTGTTACAGGTTGCCATCTAGCACGATACGTCCCATAAGTTCCATACTTTGCGTATAGATTGCGATTTCTTGCTTAACACGTTCAGAATAGCATTATTTTACCCAAAACTTTTGACTGAATCTAAATGTTTTCGTTTACGAGGACGGTATCCATTGCTGTAATATGATTGGTTGTCTTAGGTCACGTGCATCAGTTTTACCAATCACGAACCTTATAGCAGACTGTGGAGAAAAAGCGTCAATAGAAACCAATCTTTATTCAATAAAATTACTTCTTACAACTGCGAAATACTCCTGGCAAGGTTACTGTGATATTATTGATGTTTAGAGCTTTCGAACGATACCCGCCATGAAATGAATCCTCTCGAGTGTTATTCATACGGAGCTTCGAAAACGGAGGCATTTCCCAATGTTGAGTCATGTTACCGGGCGTATCTACATTTTCATTCATATGTGATTGTGTGTTGGGTCAGTGGCCTAACTTTAATGAAATACTGTCTGTTTGTTGGTCTGTTTATCTTAATCGGGCAGAAGCGGTTTATGGTTTACGGATTGATACAGGTAAAACGATATATAAGTTACTGTCTCTCTACGCCCTGAAAACACTTAACCTGAGACATCGTTACAAAACCTTCGTTAGACTGCGTGCAAAATGAATATCGCTCCTTACAAAGATGCTAAACCACAACAATTCTGATCACGAGGCAGTGGCAGTTACAGTCCATACAGGGGGGACCACTTTCTGTTAGAACAGCCAGGTGAGCGAGTTGCACAAATGAAATTGAAATGATGTTCTAATTCTCTTCGATCAACCGAACATAAAATATTTATTTTGTATAACAAAACACACATTAGGGTTATGTCTACCGCAGCTCAACGAGCAGACGAGCAGGTTTATTTACAATGTACATGTGCAATGTTTACGCGATGCTTAGGCCGTACATTCGTCTTCCTGCAAAACAATGTATGCGAAATTAACTTTAATTAGCAGATAGTTGCAAAATTTAAGAGAATGATTAAAACACTTAATAGTCATTAGGATAAAACTCCAATTCACAATAATTTGTATATTCATTTCATATGTTGATATATATATATATCTAATTTTAAATAAGAATACTTATCTTGTAAATTTCCGAGAGATCGTCAGACGTCGCCAGCTCCGCCGTCCCATTCATGGTCTACTGGCTGATAATGACTCTTCGAAAACACTTGAACTTACGCAAAAGTACCAGAAGGTTTCAACTGCCAAACAGCATGAACAACTTCCATACGGAATCATTTACTCAGTCAATTTAATGGAGATAGCTGCTCGCCTGCACAGTGCGAAGACCTCGAATGATTGTTCATTCTTCTCCATACACCAAGAAACCTCTCTCACGTGACTTCGTGACACCACTTTCACGTGCAACTCAACCCTGCTGCGTTAGCCAAACCTCTACCGTATTTACCCAAAATAAATTAAATTTCATTCCAGACGCTTGTTGATTACCTGGCTGTTCTACCAGCAAATGTTCCCCCCTCGGTAACAATAGCAAAATGTAACAACAAAATAATGATCGTTTGTTAAACAACTTTTTTATTCGCTTGACCAAAATTATGACAAAAATCATCAGAGTTGGTCTTTCGTTTTCATGTGACTGTGCAAAATTTGGTTTTGTTGTAATTATTAGATTTTGTGTCAGCGAGCAATTCATCGGTGTAAATGAAATCAAACGGACTGTAGGAGTCTACAGTCTCCCCACTGTTCACCATTAAGACGATGAAGGTCTTCCTCTAACAAAGCGAGTTATAATCCGTGTGCCGACTTATATATTCTACACGGCTGTATTGACATTTATGGAACATAATAATGAATGAGACCCTATTCGGCACATACTGACCCTTTTCTACGGGACTAATTTGGTGATAAAAAGTGTTATAATCAAACCCGTTCAACCCAACATCAAATGGTCTCTTCCTTACACTGTAACACACTTTTACCACAGGTCACGCAGCAACTTGCTAACGTAGATGCATATATCTTCTCTTTGTCAACTGACGTACCCAGAACACACTACTCCAACGCACCCCCTTCAACAGCACAGAGGAACATCCTACCCACAAGGGCCTCATTTCACAAAGGACTAAGGTGATCGTAAGTCACTAAGGTAACCTTAGTGCAATGTTAAAGGATGGGAGTTAAGGTTAATCTTAGTAAAGGTTGCTTCGTGAAATTAGCCCTAGACCAATCTCCTTCAAAACCATCTCATATCAATTAACCCAACCACAGACACGTGATGGTCTGGGTTTGAACTGGTCTAGAGCAACCAATGCCTTTTATGCATCTGTTGTACGTCTGTAGTCCCTCACAGACAAACTCTGGTGAACAAAAGTTCATAAATAAATATAATAACCCGTGAAGATCCGGATTAAAGTTGCAACCCATGCTTGTCATAAGACGCGACAAACGGGATCGGGTGGTCGGGTTCCTTGACTTGGTTGACACATGTCATCTTATCACAGTTGCATCGATCGATGCTCATGCTGTTGACCACTGTTTACAACCGCCGCCATATAGTTGGAATATTGTTGATTGCGGCGTTAAACAAACAAACCTCACTACACATTACCACTTTATATCACACCTCCCATACACGCCTACTATACCTACAGAACAACGTCATGAAGGCCACTCACCTCGTACATGCTGGTCACCTGCAGAGAGTGCATGATGGGGACGATAGTGAATATTCCTATGACGTAGCTCAGAGCAATAGCGATCACGTAGAGCACAAAATTAATTCCCGTCGTGAACGTCTCTGCTGGCATTCCTATAAGTGACGTGGACGACATGAATGTTACAAACAACGACAACGTAACAGGAAGCACGTGCAGTTTCCTTCCTCCGAGAAGATATTCTTCTTTGGTATTTCTCTTCCTTCCTTTAATGGCAAGACAGACACCCATTCCGACCGGCACGGCCAACGTTGCTGCAATTACGACATAGTCGACAATGGATAACGTCGGTGACTCAGCCATGTTGTTCAATGGTCGACCACGCACTGTTTACTCACAGCTTACATCACTACATAACACGAATGGAACTTTAGAATTCTGAACATAGGGGTGACAGGTTGGATTAAGTATTAAGTATACATATCCCATTCATTTGAAGATGTGCTTGTTTGAAATTCGACATGGTGAAAATCAGTCACACAGAGACAACAGTGTTGAATGACGGTTTAAGTCGCTCGAGAAAACCCAACAGGGTTATTCTCATTCTGAACACAGGGGTGACAGGTTGGTTTGCATTTTAGGTTATACAGTACAACCAGAAATTATTGAGAAGGTAAGATTGTAATTTTTGTATTTTTTTTCTCTCATTACTCACGTATTAAATGTGAATATTAGCAGAACATAACTCCAGATTCAAAGACAGCTGAACAGTTAGTATTTTGTCAAGTCACCATGGGCAGCAATGCAGGCTTCAATGCAGCGGGGAATACTACTGATCAAAGAAGTTAGAAAGTCGTGGTCCGTGCTGTCCCAATATCGGACCACCTCTTCTTTCATTTCAGCAATATTTGTCAGATTTTCTTATTGACACTTTCCTTCATAAGTCCCCAAACATTTTCTATTGGAGTTAGGTCAGGGCTATAGCTTGGCCAATCTAATAATGTCATATTTTGGGTCCGAAACCAGGCCTGTGAATGCTTTGAACGATGTTTTGGGTCGTTGTCCTGCTGGAAAATACAAACATTTCCATAGAACACGTGAGCAGATGGAAGTAAATGTCCCTCGAGAATATCGGTGTACCGCTCACTGTTCATATTCCCTTCAAATACACAGAGGGGCTTTGCCCCTAACACAGATATGCCACCCCGCACGTTAAATTTCGGACTGTACTTTTTAGCGCTGATACAAAGGTTTTTCAGTTTGTTTGGTCCAGAATTTCAGTGTATTAGGAAACAGCAACACAGAACTTTCATCTAAGAAAATCACATTGTCCAAGTTAAAATTTCTATGCTGTAAGCACCAGTTCAACCTTCGCTCCTTTTGTTCAGGTTTCATGATCGGTGATGAAATTCCTCGACTTTTCTGTCAACCCATTGCATGCAGCTCAGTTCTAATTGTCTCCTTACAGACAGCCACAGTTCCTCTATCAATCATATCCAGCCTAAAACTCCTCCCTTTGATTTTAGAAACAAGAATACCAAGCCGCCTCCTGTCACCGACAGTCAGTTTTCTGGGCCTACCTGCGCCTTCCTGGTGCTCAATGCCATATCCATTTGCAACATTTTTTCAAAACACGATAAACAGTGGACAAAGGGATGCTTGTTCTACTTGAAATCTCTTTAGCTGATCTGATGTCCTTGTTATAATACTCTAAAATCAACCTCCTCTTCTCTAAATCATCCATACTGAGGATCACTGGAAATGTCGTCTGCTAGCAAGTAAACAAAGTGGGATACCTCTTCACAAACTAATGGAAAAGGATTAACGGAGCTGTCTCTCTTGAATGAAACCAAGCACTTGATAGCTTGTCAAGGTTGTTTAGATTAGAAATCCAATTAAACATATTCCTAAAATTCTCAATAATTTCGGGTCACACTATATATAAACATAACATATAGTGAATGTTTTGAGCGAGACTAAACTTTTGATGGGTAGTATATATGCTTACCATGTAGTCGGAATCGTACAGTGGACTCTGCTGAATGTTTTTTTTTATGATTATGGACGTCACGCCGAAGATCCGGGTTCGATTCCCCAGATGGGTACAAAATGTGAAGCCCATTTCTGGTGTTCTCCCCGTGATATTGTGGCGGATATATATAATATTGTATTTTTACAGTCATGTACATATTAGTTTTTATTTTATTAATTTTATGTATGTTAACAGTTTCATTGCAGTTTCAGGGATATCATTTCATATTTGGATATTTATGGATATGTGTATATTAACTGTCACTTTGCATTGCAGGTATAATATTTCTTATTTATAGTAATGAATGTTTTTATATCAACAGGTCTGTTCATTTTGAAACTGACTATACTCATCTCAAAGCAAGTCTATGAATAGCTATGCAGTCAGTGCTATTCAAGTTTAATTAAGGGTGGTTAGGTAGGGTCATTACATTATTATGTGCCCTTAGTTGATCCAATCGGATTGGATCATTCAAACTCTTGCCCTCTTTTACTAATTCAAATCTTCACTTCACTGTCACTGCTTGCACCAACAAGACGTTTATCCTGTGTTGGAATTCATCCATTTTATAAGATCACCACAGGTCAGTTTAATCTTTTATATCAATTAATCAGTGTGTATACCTTTAAATGCTATATTGTTAATGCTTATGTGTAAATATAAACTGTAACTTGTGTGTAAGTGTACAAGTTAGGTTTAACTTGTTAGGGTCACTAAGCTAAATTACAATCCAATAATCTTTTAGTATCCAAATAAATTATTCAGTTCATTAAAGTGTTTTCTCTCTCCTATGAGTGAATGGTTACATACCTGCACGTTTGACTGATTGATTTTATAAATGAGAGAAAGTATAGTGTGTATGTGAATGTAAGTATGAATGCGATATAAGTGTGTATGTGAATGCAAGTATGAATGCAATATAAGTTTGAACTGCTTATATTATATCCTAGGTTTTGAAATGGTAGAATATATGTATATAGTTTAAGTTATTGCAGCTTTAACGTTGATTATTTTTTATACAGATTATACGTACGTTTGACTGGCTTGGCGGCTTGACGGGGCTGTAATCTGCACCCTAGTGCCATTGGTTGACGCATGTCTTCGGTTCCCAGTTGCGCAGATCGATGCTCATGCTGTTGATCACTGGATTTTCTGGTCCAGACTCGATTATTCACAGACCGCTGCCAAAGCGCTGAATGTTGCTGAGTCCGGCGTAAAACTAGGCTAAACTCACTCACTCACTCACTATCTTCCCTCCGGCCCTATCCTCCTCCACCCTATCTTCACTCATTCCGAAATTGTAATATCGATGTTCATGTTTATCTCAGGATTGTCTGGTTCAGACTTGGTTTTTGACAAACTGCTGACATATAGCTAGTGTATTGCGGAGTCCTGCATGAAACAACAAGCGAATTATATGATTGATTACAAAACAAGATATATATCTCTTCTAGAGGGTAGACTATGGAGATTTGGCTGGCGGCAGTTAACGTTTTAAACGTATCTTGTGTGAGTATCAGGCAGTACCAGTTTTGTTTTCTTTTATGTCAATCGTTCTTTATTTGCTTAGTGAGTGTCCATATCAGTTTATGTTTTGTGTGTCAATAATTTATGGAGTGTGAGTATCAGTCTCTTTTATTTGTGTTTTCTGTGATGTCAATCAGTATAGAAAGCTTATGCTTTTTGCTTCATGTTTCGTGTGCGTGAGTGCGTCTGTGTGTAAAACAACTGTATTTTTCATGTAAAGTACTAACACGTTCACGGTTTGTAATTGCAACACTAAACCTTCGAGTAGGCAGTTTCGGAGCTTAGGGAGAATTATAATGCCAATTATAATCTAAATACATTTTTTAGGGCTCCTTGCCTCTATTGTGCTCGTTTACAAACAGCAACACACTGCTACTCCGAGCAGGCGACGTGGAGAGTAACCCGGGCCCCATCGATCAATTGGATTTCGGGAAAATGTTCGATTAAATGAGAGAACATATGCAAAGGGAATCCGAACAAATCAAATCATTTGTAGGTGGAAAATTTGACTCCATCGATCAGGAACTTAAAACTATTAACAGCAACTGGGAGAAAGTAAGTTCAGAAATATAAGAACTCTCATGCTCAGTTAACGTATTAAAGAAGAAAACAGATGTACTAGAACTAGACACATGTGAACTGAAAGATGACATCAACAAACATAGCCTTGATCTGGGCGCGACTAACGATAAGGTGAAAGACAATGAATACCGAATAACTGTTCTAGAGAGAACTGTTTCAAACCTTACTAATGAGTTGGACAGAATGGAGGCGTATAGCAGACGTGAGAATATAAGGTTCTTCGGTATCCCAGAGGACGAGGGAGAATACGCATCTGTGAGTAGGGAAAAAATACTTAACATTCTCAACGAAGCTATACCGTCTAAGACTTGGGATGAAGGAGACATTTTAAGAGTGCATCGCGTAGGGCGCCAATCATCGGACATGAATAGCGGCAGTAGTAGGGCAATCATTGTTAAATTCCTCCATCCTGACGATAAAGATCTTGTGTTCAAAGAACGAGAGTGCCTCTCACGTAGGAATATTCGTGTCGCTGCAGATCTTACTGCAAGACAGCGTGAGCAGTCAGTGATGCTCGTCGCGAGGGTAAGGTGGCATTCTTCAGGAGAGGGAAGCTGGTTGTCAGGGAATCTAACAGTAGTAGATATAATGACAGTCCAACAAAAGCCTCTGCAAAGCTTTATTTCACAAATAAAGCTTTTGTTAGGTCCTTAGATCTCGCCACCATTGTATCTACTACTTTTGAACCCCCAGTTAACTTCCCGACCCCACGTGGCACTATTGTGTCGCTATGACCGCGATCCTGAACACATGGTACTATGTCGTGTGAAACAGTTTAATGTTTCGTACCCCTTGTCCTATGTACTTTTTTTTCTCGTCTTCACTGATAGCAGACTTACGAGACTTAAGCCGGATTTCTTGTTTCATCTTACGTTACTTGTCGAGTTCAGAGAGGATTGAACGAGATTCCTCCTCTGAGATCTTACTGTCAGTGAGTGCTGTGGAAATACGCTCACCTACCGTGTTCAGCTTTGCTTCGGGCCAGAATCCTGATCTCGTCGTGTTTCAATGCCTTCCTATGAAGTCTGCGTGACACAAACTTAAACACCAATCCAGCCAACCCTGACACCCCAGCTGTTATTTCGATGCCTAGCACTGCGGATGCGGCTATGATGGTGGCCAACAACGCCACACCTACTGCCCCTAACCCCATACTGGTAGCCATAAGGGCGGTATCAACCCCATCCACGACATTTGAAAGCTCTATGGTACTTCTTATACA